GTTCATAATGCATCACAATTCTCTTGTGGTTCGATTTTGAGAACACCATCCTAAGCTGATATCTAGTTAGCTAAAGTAACACATTGTTACAAATTTTGTGTAATGAACGCTTAAAATAGTGTAAATAATTTATATCTGGATGCGCAATACGTTAATATTACTTTCTGTTGTATTTATTTTATGTTAAAACTGTAATATTCGCAAGAAACACCATTTCTTACATTATAATGGCGATTAAATGGAAACATGGCAAAATGTTGGTGATAGAGCCAGGTTGCTATCCTTTTTGGCGACCACGTTGGCAACTTGGCGATTTATTGAACTGTGCAGAAGTTGCTTTGCTGTAAAGAAATCTTATGGGGGGCTGCAACAAAGAAGATAGCACAAAAACCTTCTCCACAAAAAATACATATACATGCCAAATTTCATAGTGATTGGTTGACCGGTGTAGGAGAGAAGCGAGGTCATATATACAAACATCCATCTGTAGACAGACAGACAGACAGATATTGTTTTATAGTTAGTATTAATGAACTAAGAAAACATCTAGATTCCCCAATACTAATGAAATTTAATATCAGGACAGGAAATTTTTCAAATAAAAAAAATTTATGTGTGTTTTCGCGTATTCTTAGAAAATTCTTTTTTATTTGAAGGCAACACGGTACCCTACTTGTGGCCCATATAATTCGGAAGCTCTTGCCACCAAATTTCATATCAAATAACAAATTAGTTTTTAAGAGATTTGAAGTTTTCTGAACTTATGTTTTGGTTTCGGTTTCATTTTAAAGTTTTTTTCTATTCTTAAGTTGAACTAATTAAAAATATTTTTGAGTACAATCAACTCTTTCAGTATGAAATGGTTATTAATTTGAATTTTTCCTTAGTAAAATCATTTCTGCTTGATTATGTTTTGAGGTATTTGAGTTCTTATAATTTCTTCATTAAGACTGATTTCAAGGCCAATTCCTGTTTTAAAAAATAGTTTATATAACTTAGAAGATTTATCATTGATTTTTTCCTGTGAAGAAAGTGCCATGGCTAAAACGTTCTCAAGTTCGAAGAGATGGAATACTACTGAAAATAATGTATCTAAAAATCAGACCCAGCCGAGATACGGCAATTACATTTCCGAATACAAGTATTCTGAATTCAAGTATTTGCAGATAAAACTGAACATTTCCATAATGTACCAAATTACATTACAGTAAACATATTGGCCTGATTTGTCATCAAACCTGATTTGATACAGATCCATTAAATATCCCATCCATTTTGTCAATTTTTAAATGGATGGAAGTTGATAGTTTTTTAAAATGTATCTTATTCAACTAATATCTTCGAGTTATGGGAAGCAAAATTTACGGAATTACTGAAAAAAGGGGAAGATAATTGTAGTGATAAATCGACAGCTATTTTAAAATGCTGTATATACACTCATGTCCCTAAATTAAGGATAATTCAGAATCACACAGAAATTGAACTCTAAAATAAAAATTTCACCAGTAGAATTATCACACACACCTTGAAGAAGAATATGAAAATTACAGGAAACCACCAGGTGGCGCGGATAGTACGTCACAATGACGAGAGTGTAAGAGAGGGGTATATAAGGAATGGGGGCAAAGCAGTAAAATAGTTCACAAGCACTTTAAAAGCCTTTCAGTGCAATAACCGCATAGTTATGGCACAAAGGAAGCATTTGGATGATTTTTTTACGTGGTAGAATTATCGGACGACTGGAATGTGGACGTACCCAGCTAGAAGTATCCGAGGAACTTAGAATCGCCCAGAGTGTCGTCCCCAGGCTTTAGAAACGATTCCAAGATGATGGTAATGTGAGTAGTTGTTACAGCACAGGTCACCCTCGAGTTACAACGCCGAATGAGCACCGGTATTTGGCAGTTACTGCCAAAAGAAACAGACGGAGCACATTGGTCTATATGCTCGTAGGCCTGTCAGATGGGTTCCCCTTACCGCAACTCATTGTCGCCTGCGATTAACCTAGAGTAGAGAGCATGCATTGTGGACACCGCAACAGTGGTCTTGTGTGATGTTTTCCGACAAGTTCAGGTTTAGTTTGCAGTCTGATTCTCGCCGGATTTTCATATGGTGAGCGCCAGGTACCCGTTACCACTAAGAGAACACCATTAAACGACACCGTTACGATGGTGCAGGAAGGCTCGTTTGGGGAGGAATTATTCTTGGTTCCAGAACTGACCTGCATGTTCAGAGTGTAACGATGACAGGCCACATCTATCGGGATGTCATTCTGGAACAACATGTACGTTTGTTTCGGGGCGCCATGGGTGCTGAATTTCTGTTTATGGATGACAACGCCCGTCCTCACCGTGCAAACATTGTAGATGAATGCCTTCAATCGAAGGATATCACCCGTATGGATTGGCCAGCATACTCATCGGACTTGAATCCAATAGAGCATGTGTGGGATATGCTTGGCTGACGAATTGCAGCCCGTCAACCCCCTCCCACCTGTCTCCCGGAACTTCGGAGGGCATTGCTTGATGAGTGGTGTAATATTCCCCAAGATCAGATTGAAAATTTCATAATCAGCATGCGTAGGCGTTGTAAGGCCTGTATTGCATCGTCCGGGAGACATACTCCGTATTAACCATCATACTAACCATGTTATACTGTTTTTTGTAAATAGGTTTTTTTTTTTAAATTTGCTCCAGGGAGTAAAAATCGCAATTTTTATTAATTATGTCAAACATATAGCATCTTTTTTGCTCTTTACCTTTTGTTTAGTAAATAGACTTTACAAATAAGTCAAATTTGTTTTGCTTCTGTCTCTTTGTGTGCCTGAACTTCATTATCCTTAATTTATGGACATGAGTATAATTACCGAAGCGATTTAATTGTCTGAAGAAAATAGCGTGTTCTCTGCTTACTGCTTTTGGTTATACATATTTATGTGAACAATTTTTTCTCATATAAAATACATTTTGAGTCCACAAAGAAGTAGTTTAACAACTAAACATTTAGAATCACGTGACATCAAAAGTCACAAATTATGCCCCTGATTTTGCGATATTATCTAAAGATTTACAGGGTCAAGGTTCTCAATAAAATTTTAATCTATTTAATTCTATTGAAGAAATACTTAAGTTTCATGTTGCTCATTTCTTATTTTCAATTCCTACTATTAGTTCGCAATCTCTCCATATATATACAAGGGGTGATCAAATGAAAAGGTACGAAACGACACGGTGGGTACAAATGTAGACTTTATTCAAAATATACACCATAGGCCTGAGCACGACGATCTCACTGATGAACAAGCCGCAGGATTCCTTGTTCCCAGAATTACTGTGGCTGTGACGAGGCCCAATCCTTCACAGTGACCTTGAGTACGTCGTCCAAGTTGAAGCGCTTCCCTTTCAGGTGTTTCTTCAGTGGACCAAACACCTGGAAATCGCAAAACGACATGTCCAGACTGTAGGGTGGATGATCCAACGTCTCCCATTTGAACTAGTCCAGTTCCATTTGTGTGAATCTGGAGACGTGTGGACGCGCGTTATCATAGAGCAGAACCACACCCTCCGTGAGCATCCCCGGTCTTTTGTTCTTGATGGACCTGCGTAGGCGTCGGAGTGTCTCACAGTACACATCGGAGTTAATGCTTTTTCTGTGCTCGAGGAATTTCACAAGTAGCGGACCTTGAACGTCTCAAAAGACAGTGAGAAACACCTTGCCTGCTGACTTCACGGCTCTGAACTTTTTAGGGGGAGGTGATGATGCATGCTTCCACTGCATGCTGTCCCGCTTTGTCTCTGGCTCGTAGTGATGGCACCAGGTCTCCTCACTTTTGATGATCCGCTTCATGAAAGCGGGGTCTTCCTAATACCGAAACAGATGTTGCAGTGCTAGTCCCGTACGCAGTTTCTTTTGCTGGTCGGTGAGCTGCTTCAGAACCCAAGCGGCACACACCTTCTGAAATCGCAACCTGTCGTGAACAATTGTCCACACGGTTCCATAGCTGACATCCACCTTCAGCGCCAACATTCGCAATGTGACACGCCGATCACTTCTCACTAGGTCGTCCACCTTGTCGATGAGATCGCTCGTGATGACAGTGTTTGCCTGGCCTGGTCCCTGGTCATCACCCACACTCTCACGGCCTGCGCGAAAACGGGCACTCCATTTTCTGACAGACTTTTTTGTCAGAGACACATTTCTTCCCGTAAGCGGTCAACATCCGCCGATGAAAAGCTGCCGATTTCTCACCTTCCGCTGTCAGAAATCGGATAACACTTCGCTGCTCCTCAATCGTCGAATTTTGCAACGCGAACGCCATCCTGTCCTCATACGGACTGTCGCATCATTTGGACGCCGCTTTTTATAAGAGCCTTTGCTCTCTCCTGCGCATGCGGGCGCCCGCGCATGATCCGATCCCAGTCATAGCCTCCAATGGCATCCCGAAATGTCTCGCTACATTCTCCCATGGCGGAATATGCAAATATTTAACTGTTTCATTTTTATGTCGTTTCGTACCTTTTCATTTGATCACCCCTTATATATATATATTTCAAAAATATGCACAAAATAGTTATAAATAGTTATAAACCTAAGATAACTATGGTCATGATAGTATAAAGTTTTAACCACAGTAGTACTAAAGCAAACTTCTGGCCTTAGGAACAAGGATTGCAGGTTTAAACAAAGTTTTGCAGCCAGCCAACCTTCACCTGTGTTTGCCAATACTCTGGGCCATAGAAAGTATTTTTTTATGGATTGAAAATTTGAACAAGATATATATATATATATATATATATATCTTATTCAAGTTTTCAATCGTTAAAAAAATAATTTTCATTCATCCAGTCAAGCTCAAATACATTTTTTTTAAAATTTCTAGTGGATAACATTTGATGTTTATATAGTTTTTCAAATATTAATTCATTAGTTAAGCGTAATGAATAAATAGTAACAAAATTAATAGTTCAACACCATGTATAAAAAGTAAAATCGCTCATTGTGTATCTGTAGTGCAATGGATAGCGCGTTGGACTTCTAATCCAAAAGTTGTGAGTTTGAATCTTACCTGGGATGGCTTACTTTCTGAGAATGTGATTTATGAATGAATAAAAACAAAAATAATAGTCAAGCATATATATAAAAAGGAAAATCCCTTTTTGTTTTGCCACTTAATAATGTGATTCTATAATGTGTATTTATACATATTTATATTGATTGTAATTATATTTAATAAAAAGCAACGAAAATAAAAAATTTCTTTGTATACCAAAGTAGGAATTGATTTTAAAAAACTTTTTTATATTATTTGTTTTTATAAATATTCTTAAAAAATACATAATATATGCTCAATTTTGATTTTTTATTCATGTTAAAGAATAGTCATATTTTATATTTAGTTCTTATTTTAATAGATGTTCATAAAATGTTTATGTGTACATTTTTAGTTTTTAATTTATGTTGAAGGAATAGCTACGTCTTATGCTAATAAATATCTTAAACTGGTGCATAATTAATGTACGATAAAGCTCTAAATCTCTATTTTTGACTTCTATTCCCTAACTTTGCATGTATTGTAGCAGGAATCGAATAGTTTGAAATATTTCCTGCACCCTGAATCATGTTAGTAGATTGGTTTGGCACACCACAGTATATATTTAGCCTCGTACCATTCTCTTGAAATGTTTACAATTTTCTCGATTGAACTCCGTTAACAATTTTTGCCGATTTTTTTCAATATATTCCATAAATTCATCACCAAAACTAAATACATCCATTCGTCTGAATGTTTTTAAAAAGAAGTTTTGGACTGCTTTTTATGTTCTAAAAATTACTACCTACCCAGTCCTTAAAATTAAATATCAGAGGGTATCGACTTTTTCGATCCATTGACTCTGCAAAGCCATGCTTTTTATTTATAATAATAACCTTTACAAATAAATAACAATGCTCAAAATTCTTTTCATGTTTAGCAAATAAAGAAAAGACCTTTTCTCGAATTCAGGCCCTTCTGAGTATAAGTACAAAATAAAATAATAGCTTTTTTTATTTTTACGTTATTGCAGTTGAATGTTTCATGAATATTCTTTATCAGTTTTCAAAAATATGAAATAGTAATACTATATATTTAGCCAATTTAAATTTCCAAGAATTTCAAAATACAATTTAAAAAAATGCTACAAATCAAAAACAATTCCAGAAATCTATTTCCATAGCAATATTTTTTTATTAAAAATATTGGTAGTTTAGATTTTGATGCCCTTTAAAAGCAAGCAATTTTTCTTTAATTAGTCTTACCTTAATATTGGGCTTTTTTTAGAATTCATATTCTTTATATAATTTATATTTCATGTATTATTTTTTTCAAATGTTATTAAACAGACGTATGAAGACTTCTATAAATAACAAAAAATAAAAATTCTGATAGAAATTTTTGAAAACATAGGAAAGAATTACCAGCATTAAAAAGTTAAGTCAAAAGGTACGGCATTAAATATTATCCTATCATGCATCCAGCGATCTATAGCACATAATTGCCCTATCATGTGTAATACACTAAATTTGCAGGTTTCAAATGTGCGTTTATAAAAGAACACAGCAAAATATTTTTTTTTTTAGCATAAATGCAATTCTAACTCTGATGTATAAGAAAGAGTTAACAGTCATGCATGTTGTGTATTGTATGAATTTTATTAAATGATTTACTTGTTCTGAATATGCTTAAAAGTTTCTTAATATTTAATGGGTATACATAGCCGTGCAAAAGTTCGGATTCAAAAAATTGAGATAGTCTGCAGTATTTTTTTAAAAATTGCACTCTTTCACGCATATTGTTCTAAATGTTAGAGCTATAACACTTTGAACTGAAACGTGTAGAAGGTATTTCTCTACATCAAAAATTGAAGTTTAAAAAAAACTAAAAAACATCCTTTTATAGTTAATCGAGCTAAAATGTAACGTGATCTTTTAGTCACCAAATATGGAATGGGATATAAAATTAGTTGCCAGATGCAGGATGAGATCTGAAAATGGGAAATCGTTAACCCTGGTGATCCTGATCAAGACAACGGAACAAAACTATTAAATTATTGTATTGCCATCGATCCTGGACCTGAGCAAAGTTTCGAATTAATCTGACCTCTTTAAGTGGGTAAAAATTGAGTTCAAAGATTTCGTTACATACAAGTGAAGCTTATAACAGGGTGTTAAAAAAGGAGAGCCCGTCAGAGACTTTTAGGCTCCTAAACATTTAGACATCAAAAGGTTATTCATTTATTGAACAATCAAGAGATTTTCTGAATCAACGGCCTTGGAGACAATTCTAAAAGCTATCGTCCGCATTCGGTGAGAACACCAGTTATCGTCAAAGCAGTCAGGGATAGAATTCGTTAAAATCTTTGTCGAAAGAAGACTCTTCTTGCAAAACAGATGAACGTGCAAAAAGAGTAGTGTATTACATGGTAAACTAAGACCTTATACACTGGTGTGCAAAAATTAAGGACGAGACGGTTTTTTCAATATAACTTTGTACTAAAGCATTCCAAATCAACACATTTAATACCGTAAGATCCCCAATACGTAAGGACATTAATAATGTAAGCAACACTTACTAAAAGAGAAATCAGAGGGATAAAAAAAAAGAAGCTTTATTGAAAAAGTAGCATGGAGCTCAATGCGACTGAAGGCCGAAATATCCCTGTGATGGGAGTCCAGCAAGAAATATCCGGTCTTTAGTAGGGGATATGATCTCCCCTGACTGCTAGGCAGGTTTCACAGCGTCTGCCCATGCTGAGAATGAGGGTGTCAATGAGTTGTTGAGGCATTGCTGCCCATTCGTCTTGCAGCGCCAATCGAAGCTCCGGAATCGTTACTGGTGGTAAGGTACGAGCTGCCAAGCGTCTGCCTAGAAAATCCCATACATGCTCGATGGGATTGAGATCCGGAGATCGTGCCGGCCAATCCATACGTTCAATATCCTCACTATCTAAGATCTGTTCGGCAGCTACTGTGCGATGACATGGTGCATTGTCGTCCATGAAAAGGAACTGCGGACCCATAGCGCCTCTAAAAAGACGCACATATGGAAGAAGAATCTCGTTACAATAACGGGTCCCGTTGACTGAACCTGCGTCGAAGATGTGAAGGTCTGTACGACTACCAAGCATGATGCCTCCTCAAACGAGAACACCGCCACCTCCATACCTGTCCCTTTCAATGATGTTCGAGGATGATTGCGGCTTCCCCGCTCTCTCCAGATGAGCATGCGATGAGAATCGCTACTCAGACTGAATCTGCTCTCATCTGTAAAGAGTACTCGTCCCCATTCATTGTCTCTCCAATTCCGGTGTTCCCGGCACCACAGAGAACGCCTTCTCCGATGGGCAGGCGTTAGAGGTACACACCGTACAGGGCGTCGTGCAAACAGACCACCACCGTTCAGTCTTCTGTCCACGGTAAAACGCGATATCGGTCGTCCAGTCGCCTGTGTCGTGTGTCTAGCGATTTCTCCCGCTGTCTGCCGCCTGTTTCTTCTGGCCTGTAAGGCAATATACCGGTCATCTGCGGGTGTGGTTCCTCGTGGACGACCACTACTGAACCCCCGGATAGCTGTTCCTGTAGTTTGAAATTGTCTCTAAAGTCGTGAAACGATGTTGTGAGCAATTCCGAACTCTGCAGCCACACTTGTCACACTGCGACCTTCCTCCTACTTCCCAATGATTCGACCTCGGGTAAAAGCATCCAGATGTCGTCTAACAGATTGATTATTCGCCATTTCTCGCTGAGGCAGCAACACGGTGTGATTTTAACTGCTATACGGTGTGCAATCTCTTTGCCAGAAATACTAATCTTACACCGACAACATGCTTTACTACTCAGACACTCCCCCATTACGTCTACCTGCATATCTGCGCATGTGCTACCGTACATCACCTCACTTAATCTCCTGATTGGTCTTTCTGTCCGCTCTGCCTCTTCGTTCAGCTGATATGCTAATTTTTCGACTTCGTCCTTAATTTTTGCACACCAGTGTATATTTAGGGGGCTCAACCATGTAATAGTTTCAAAAAATAAAAATAAAAAATATTTTTTTGCATAAATTGCTTCCTTAACATGTCTAGAATAAGGTGGTAAAGTGATTTCTTAAAATTCGAAGTCGTTATAAAGAAGCAGCTGTTAGAAAAGCAGCTGTTCGTAGCGCTAAGTTAAGATTTTTATTGTTTTAATCGAACTTGAAACTTTAAACGCGTTTTTCTCAAAACTGTGTTTTTCAAACTTTCCTCCATCATATCTCAAGAACAGTTGGACCGAATGACATCAAATTTACAGGGTAGACTCTGCACATATATACGCACCAAATGGACTACGATCATTCCAAATATTTCTATTTTTTATAACAAAAACAAAACAAAACTAAAACCCCATGAAATTCGAAACTTTTTCTTCAGAGGTCTACCAAAAATCCAATTTTTAATATTTTCAATTGAGTATAGTGCATTTAAGCTTATAGATTAAAACACCGTTGTTTTTTTTATTTCAGATAAGCCAATCAGCCGGAATCGGGGAGGAAGTGAGCGTCCATTTTTTCGAGGAGTGTGTCTTCAGAGAGCTATAACTCACGTTCTATTGGACATTTTTGTCTGAATATTTATATACATACGCTTAAGATACATATAAATAATTGATAAAAAAAAAGTTCTATCTTTTTACTTGTCACCAAAAAAATTTCCCTAAGAATGCTTAAAAAAAGGCCGTCACATTGGTGAACTCCCTTAAGAGGTTAACGAAGAAAAACTGTCGATTTTATTACAAAATAATTACAGCGCCAGAGGTAGCTTAAGGCAAAAGCACTGCTACGGCGGTATTCTTATAACGGTCACAAATGAATTCTGCTTACCGACGAGAAATTTTAAACATTGAAAAATCTTTCAGCCTTTAGAATGTCCATGTACACATAAGGAATGCCCAAGGAGCTAAAGAGAAGAAAAATGCGTGCAGGAGCTCATCATCTAGCTTCCATAATGGTTTGGTGGGGTGTTAGCAATGAAGGCGTCTCAGAGATTTATTTTTGAAAGGAA